ATATTAGTAACCAACTGTGTCTTGTCAGATCACCATGGATTAAAGTTAGTATTCAACAACAATGCTACCCACAGAAAGCCATCAAACTCATGGATGTTGAACTGTCAACTATTAAATCATCCCAGCGTCAAGGAAGAAATAAAGAAAGAAATTAAAGTCTCCCTTGAATATAATGAAATAAAGACACAACATACTCAAACCTATGGACACAATGAAAGCAGTGCTAAGAGGAAAGTTCATAGCACTAAGTGCCCAATTAAAGAAAACAGAGAAAGCACATATTGGAGACTTAACAGCACACCTAAAAGATCTGAAAAAAAAAGAAGCAGACTTTCCTAGGAGGAGTAGAAGATTGGAAATAATCAAACTGAGGGCTGAAATCAGCAAAATAGAAACACAGAAAACAATCCAAAAAATCAACGAAACAAAAAGTTGGTTCTTGGAGAAAATCAACAAGATTGACAAACCCCTATCCAAACTAATCAAACGGCAGAGAGAGAACATGCAAATTAATAATATCAGAAATGAAAAGGGGAACATAACCAAAGACACAGAGGAAATTCAGAGAATCATTAGATCTTACTTCGAGAGTTTATATGCCACAAAGTTGGAAAATGTACAAGAAATGGATTGGGTTTTAGATAAATACCATTTACCAAAGTTACATCAAGACCAGGTGAACAATCTAAATAGACCTGTTAGTCGCAAAGAATTATAAGCTGTTATCAAAAACCTCCCGACGAAAAAAAGCCCAGGGCCAGATGGTTTCAATGCAGAATTCTACCAGAACTTCCAAGAAGAGCTGATACCTATACTCCTTAAGGTATTTCACAATATAGAAACAGAAGAGTCATTGACAAACTCTTTTTATGAAGTTACAGTTACCCTGATACCAAAACCACATAAAGACACAACCAAGAAAGAGAATTACAAGCCAATCTCACTCATGAACATCGACGCGAAAATTCTCAACAAAATCCTGGCAAGAACACATTAGAAAAATTATCCATTATGGTCAAGTAGGCTTCATTCCAGAGATGCAGGGCTGGTACAACATATGCAAATCCATCAATGTAATCTATCATATAAATAAACTGAAAGGAAAAAAACCATATGATCATCTCATTAGATGCTGAAAAAGCATTTGACAAAATCCAACATCCCTTTATGATAAAGGTGATGGAGAGATTGGGGATACAAGGATCATACCTAAATATAATAAAAGCTATTTACAGGAAGTTGACAGCTAACATCAAACTGAACGGTGAGAAACTCAAAGCCATTCCATTTAAATCAGGAACAAGACAAGGCTGTCCACTCTCACCATACCTCTTCAATACAGTGTTAGAAGTTCTAGCAATAGCAATATGACAACATAAGGGGATCAAGGGGATTCAAATTGGAAAGGAAGAAGTTAAACTCTCATTATTTGCAGACGATATGATAGTATATATGAGCGACCCCAAAAACTCTACCAAAGAACTCCTACAGCTGATAAACACCTTTAGTAATGTGGCAGATTACAAGATCAACTCCAAAAAATCAGTTGCCCTCCTATACACAGAGGATAAAGAAGCAGAGAGGGAATTCAGAAAAACTTCACCTTTCACGATAGCCAAAAATAGCATAAAATACCTTGGGATAACTCTGACCAAGGAAGTGAAAGACCTTTTTGACAAGAACTTTAAGTCTTTGGAGAAAGAAATTGAGGAGGATACCAGAAAATGGAAAGATCTCCCTTGCTCTTGAATTGGGAGGATTAACATAGTAAAAATGGCAATTCTTCCAAGAGCAATCTATAGATTCAATGCAATCCCCATGAAAATCCCATCAAACATCTTCACAGACCTTGAGAGAATAATAATTAATTTTATATGGAAAAATTAAAAACCCAGTATAGCCAAAACAATCTTATATAATAAAGGAACTTCTGGAGGTATAACCATCCCTGACTTCAAACTCAATTACAAAGCTACAGTATTGAAAACAGCTTGGTACTGGCATAACAACAGAGAAGTCGACCTATGGAATTGAATAGAAGACCCAGATATTAACCCACAAACCTATGAATACTTGATTTTCGACAAGGGGGCTAAAGGTATACAATGGAAGAAGGAAAGCATCTTTAACAAATGGTGCTGGCATAACTGGATGTCAACCTGTAGAAGAATGAAAGTAGATCCATATCTATCACCATGTACAAAAATCAAGTCCAAATGGATTAAAGACCTCAACATTAATCTGACCACTTTGAAGCAGATAGAAGAGAATGTGGGAAGTATTCTTCAAGACATAGGCACAGGAGACCACTTCCTAGGTAGAACCCCAGGAGCGCAGACAATAAGAGAATCAATGAATAAATGGGACCTCCTGAAACTGAGAAGCTTCTGTAAAGCAAAGGACACTGTCAGTAAGGCAAAAAGTCTACCTTCTGACTGGGAGAAGATCTTCACCAACCCCTCATCAGATAAAGGCCTGATCTCCAAAATATACAAAGAACTCAAGAAACTAGACACTAATACTCTAATTAACCCAATTAAAAAATGGGGTGCTGATCTGAACAGAGAATTCTCAACAGAAGAACTTCGAATGGCCCAAAGACACTTAGGGTCATGCTCAACCTCCTTAGCGATCAGGGAAATGCAAATCAAAACAACTATGAGATATCATTTTACACCGATCAGATTAGCTAAAGTCAAAAACACCAATGATAGCCTATGCTGGAGAGGATGTGGAGAGAAGGGAACTCTCATCCATTGTTGGTGGGAATGCTAACTTGTGCAGCCACTGTGGAAATCAGTGTGACGGTTTCTCAGGAAACTGGGAGTCTACCTCCCTCAAGACCCACCAATTCCACTCTTGGGAATATACCGAAGAGATGCCCTATCATACCACAAAAGCATTTGTTCAACTATGTTCATAGCAGCACTATTTGTAATAGCCAGAACCTGGAAACCACCTAGGTGCCCCTCAATATAAGAATGGTTAAAGAAGGTGTGGAATGTATATACATTAGAGTTTTACTCAGCGATAAAAAACAATGACATCTTGCATTTTGCATGCAAGTGGATGGACATAGAAAACGCTTTACTGAGTAAGGTAACCCAGACCCAAAAAGAGGAATATGGTATGTATTCACTCATAAGTGGATTCTAGACATAATTAAAGGTCTTTTAGCCTATTATTCATGATCCTAGAGAAGCTAAATATGAAGGTGAACCTGAAGAAAATCATGTAGCTATCCTCCTGGAGATTGGAAATAGACAAGAGTCCCAGGTAACCTCGGGTGCTTGGGGGGGGTGGGAGGGTTGTTGGAAGGGGAGAGGGTTAGAGAGAAAGGAGTAGGGGAGGAATGGGGAAAGCTTGGTGGACTGGGATGGGGGCAGGGAGGAAGGATGGATATGGGATCAGGGAAGAATATATCTCAACTAAGGGAGTCATTTTAGGGTTTACAGGAGACTTGATTATAAATGGGATCCCAGATCCAAGGACAGATCCCCAGATTGTTCTCTGGACAGAGGAGAGTGTGCCTGAACCGGCCTTGGCCCATAACCATACTGATGAATATTTTGCTTAACACCATAGAACTTTCATCTGGCGATGGATGGAGATAGAGACAGAGACCCACATTGGGACACTGGGCTTAACACCCTAGGTCCAAACGAGAAGCAGAAGGAAAGAGAACGTGAGCAAAGAAGGCAAGACCAGAGGGAACCTTCATCTGACGATGGATGGCGATACAGACGGAGACCCACATTGGAGCAATGGACTGAGCCCTCCAAGGTCCAAATGAGGAGCTGAAGGAGGAAGAACATGACAAAGGAAATCAGGACTGCGAGGGGTGCAATCACCCACTGATACAAGGGGACCGATCTAATGAGAGTTCACCAAGGCCAGTTAGACTGGGACTGAATGAGCACGTGATCCAACCGGATTCTCTGAATGTGGCCGGATTCTCTGAATGTGACTGGCCCGGAGTCTTTCTGAAAAGCCATTGACAATGATACTGGGACTTGTTTCCTCTGCATATACTGGATTTTGGGGATCCAGTCTGTTTGAATACTCACCTTCCTGGACCTGGAAGGAGGCAGGAGGAACTTGAACTACCCACAGGGCAGGAAACCCTGACTGCTCTTA